TCTGAAAAAAACCTCCACTGTCTTCAATACAAGATTTTAAGGTCATTGAAATTATTCAATCTTCTTTACTTCATAACACACAAAAATGCATTTTCTGGCTGAGAAACAGTAAACATTTTCAAGCACTATCCAAGCATTGTAATATTATAGGATATAGGCTTCTTATGCAGTCCATCAGGAAAAACAAATACCCGAGGAAAAAACTTATGAAGGATCTACACATATGTTGACAGGAAACAAAGTATGTCTTGACATTTCATCTAGTAAAGCATTCACCATACAAGTCGAAGACTGTAGTCTGATGCCCCGATTGCCATGGGGATACTGACCCCTATCACTCGCCTCCCAGCAATGGCCTCTAAACAGCTGGTTATTTCAAGGCACAGGACACCCCCAGTCTGCTTTGGATTTCCTTCCACATGGACAGGATAGGTGTTCAGTCAGAAAGACAAAATCCAAAAGCGATTATTACTGCCCTTCCATTTCCTCTGTCATAACTGCAGATTAGGACTCAGGTTTTCCCTTTCAAAACCAAGTCTCTGAGGTGCTCCAAAATTGCTAAACTGGAGTTCAATTCTCATTCTCCCTTTCTGTGAGAGGTGCTGCCCACAATGGCTTAATAACATTGTAGAATTCTAGCAATGCATAGGGATGTCCCTCAGTCTTTTCCATGCTTATAGAAACTCTACTTTGTAAATAAGACATTTACCATGAGTCTTGCACACAGAATCACAATTAATGTTAGCGTAGCGGCAGTAAATTGTGAACTTAAACATCATCTTTCATTTTTTAATGAACAGAAACCATCCATTCATGGTGGACTTGGCTGGCTTAAGCAGATGCAGTCTAGTTCTTTTCTTCTAGATCAATTCACATGATCTGCTCAGTACACTAGCTTGACTAGATAACTATCTGTACTCACACCAGAGGACAGTGACTGATATTTCTAAGGCAGGGAGGATATCTTTTTCCTAATATTTGAATTTCAGTAAATAATTTTCTCAGTAAGAAAAGAAGAAGACAAGGCAAAAATGTCACAGTTGTGGTAGGTCTTTATGGCAACTCAATTAAATGAAAACACTTTAATGTAAAAAATCAAAATATTCAGGTTTATCACTGTGCTTTCTTGATATAAAATAAAACCAGAGCTATCCACAGACTGTCAATATTAGAAAAAACAAATAAAAATCCCAAAACTCCAGACTTGAAAATACTCATTTTTCTGCTACAAATTTGGAGCGAATATTTTCAACCAACTGTAATAACTTTGCTGTAAATTATGCACTTCACCCACAGATCCTACTCTTTCAATAAAGGTAATATTTTTTTCTTGTTACACTGAAGCAATAAAAATTTTTGTGTCAACCCACATTTAGGTGATAATAAATTAATACAGCATTTGACCACAGATTATCCAATAGAGGAAGTACATAAAGTGGTTAAATTCTATCTTTTATTCCCTAGAGATTCTGAGAGATTTTTCCTTAAAAGAAAAAGAGGAAAGCAAACCAGCAAAAATAACGGATCTTACCTTCTATCTTCATTGTATTTCTCATGTATGCAGGTCTGTGAAAAACAGGAACCCCAGGTACATATTTAAATGAAGATGACAATTTTTTCACTAAGGTATCTAAATTAACTCAATATGCTAGACTTCTTATACTGAGGTGCTATTTGTGGAAATAACCCAGTTTAACATCTGAAGCCATACATCTCTGGCAGCTATTGACAAGAGTTTCTTGTCAGAATATACCACTTGCGAAAACAGAATAGTTCCCATCCTCAAGTGCTTTTAAAAGGTTGCTTAATTACTTAAAATATTTTTATTTCTAATTGGTACTTTCATGGAATGGTTATGGTACCTAATTGATTGAACATTAGTTCCATTTTACATTACATCTGATGAGTTATTGATTGTCCTTTGCTTTCAGGACACTTAGGGCTTTCCTGTTGAAGCACTTACAAGAATAAATACTCCAGCCCTGTGGCATCAGTAACTTGTCCTAGCAGGGCTGTTGCAGGCTTCTCTATAAAAGATTTCGACCATTACAGTCAATTGATCTAACAGTGCGGGATGCATTTCAATGTTGTAAACAGCTCCTGTGGTTTGTGGGGTGGTTTTTGTTGTTTGGTTTGGGTTTTTTTAGTTCCTCTCATGGCTTCAGTCTTTGAAAGAAGCAAGCTCAAAATTCAAAGAATTGACCTGTTCTCCTTTTGGGGCATTTAGAGCTAGAAACTTGCTACCATTTTAGCTATGGTTATGGATCTCAGGGAAGTGTACAAATCACACCTAAGCTTTTCAAGAGCTTAAGAATTTTCCAAAAGATTACATGGTAGCCTCTAAATCTTAGTGAGATATTCTGCTTCAGCTCAATGGACAGTTTAAAGGCTTTACAAACCACTTTTTTATTTCACTAATTTATTTTCCTTGCTGTCATTTTAGTTCTGTCAAATGAAGGTCAGCACACACTGCAGAGACCACTATAAAAAAAATAAAATTAAGATGTTTGTATTGTTTAAACAAGTGAAAGACGGCTCTCTGCAATGGTTCTGTTCTGAGGGTACTTAATCAAGCAGAACAGATGTTTATTATATAATTAGGGAGCGCTTTGCCATCAGTATGAGCAAATCATGAAATCAAATTGCTCCATAATACTTTCCATTATTTCACAGACACTTGCTGTGAGGAATTGAGGGTGAGCAAAACTGCCAGATACTGTGTTATTCTCCAGCCCTAGGCACTATTTGATTACCCAGCAGGGGGAACAATGCTGCCTGTTAGCATAAAGCCAGAAGAACTAGAACCTGCTTCATCTGCCAGTCTAGTACAGAGGACTTGCAGAGGAGGCAGAGTTGTGCATGAGGTGTGGCACAACTCTGCTCTACTGTGCTCATTCTTCACTCATAAAAGGTATGAAGGTCAGAGGCCATAAGCAGTAGAGAGCCCAGGCAGCTTTTAGAGCAGGTTTGGGCAGATGATTCTTCTGTTCACTTAGCAGCAATGAACTAGATTTCTATACTGAGCTTCGTATAGAGGCATGATGCCCTACAGTAGATGTCAAGGAGCCTTAATTAACTGAAAGAGTTTTGAAAGCCGAGCCTATGCTATGAGCGCCTCTAGGCAGGGAAGCTGTATTTATAATAGTAAGTTGAACATAGACACGGCAGGAACCTCAACCTCAGCAGGCAATTGCCCATACTGCTAAGTTATTGGCACCTTTTGGCCCAGGCCAGCAAGCATTCTCCTGGACAGAGCTCAAGTATAGTTCAGGTGCCAGCGTGGAGCAGTGACCCATCTTTCAGCAGCTCAGAAGTGGCCTCTCTGTTTTGAAGAGCAGAGAATTTAACTTTCTAGACATAGCGGCTGTTGGCGTACTCAGCCTAAGGCTAGAAAAATTGTTTCTGGCTCTTTTCACATGCTAGGAAAGACCATGGCCAGCAAGTCCCTAACCTGTATTCTTTCTCAGGCCTAGGAAGGTATTTTGGTGCTCCACGCTGTGATTGTAACAGATCAGGTAGTGCTTCCTCAGGAAAAAGACAACATAGTAGAGAAGTGGTGAGTGACTAGGGCCTGAATCAGAGAAATAGCAGAAATCATATAGAAATCTATACAGATAGAGTTATGTAGGAGATAAAATGCCAATAGATTATGGTTATGAATACATATCTTTGCTGCTGAGGTTCACAAAACTGACTTACCTTTCCACATGCACTGCACAGGGCATCTTATGATGTGCTGTTATAAAGGTAGACCAAACTTAAAGCTTAATCTTATCTTTTTTACTTCATGTGCAGAAATGTCCTCAACAGCCCTACAATAATTTTTTTTTTATATAAAATAATGATTTACAACATGCAGATATTATTATTTTTTTCAAGTCTAGAGTCAAAGTCTAATTTCTAGAGTTGCTCAGTACCATCTGTTTCTATGATATTGCCATTGCTATCGCTTTTTCATCTGCCCACCCATCTCTAGGTTGCAGCCTACAAAAATGAACAGAACAAATTAATTCCTGTCATCTTTTCCTGATGATAGTCATTTACTCCATTGTTGGTGTCTCTGAACTTTGCTGAGATACAGGTATATCTTAGTTTTCAGATACATATTTCTGCTTCCAAAGTTCTAAAATACTTATTCCAACCCAGAAAACTTTGAGAGGCTGCAACATGAAAAGTTTAAGACAGAGAGAAGACAGTATGATTTCTAGCTGATCTCTAGCCTGTAGATACCAATGGTAATTTAGAGCTGGAATAGCTTTGTAAATAATAAAGTCCTCACTGCTCATGTATATGATTCATACTACATTCTTGATGAACCTCATAAATATGACATGAAAATGTCACCGGTCTTTTCCTCTTTTTCCTTATGTTCATATGCACAAGAGATCACTAACCCAGGGTGACAGCCAACAACTGAAGCACTGCAATAGTAGAGTGAAAAACACAACTAAAAATCTACTCAAATAAAGTTCTAACTTTAAATAGGCTTACTCCAGCCAATAACATCGTAGTATTATTTAGCATTTAAAATATGCAATATTCAACTAAGAGCTTTCAGCATGTTAGCTTCTATCAAAAACTCCTAATACAAGGCCAAATCATATGATGACTATAAACCGTCACTATCAATGGCCTATCAATATGTGACTAAAATGAATATAAGATTAATTTTCAATTCATTGTAATTTTTTGTTTTCCTTGAACATGCTATTTTTTTCATTCAATGTGGATCAAAGTCCAATGGCTGTGCCATCAGAAAACAATCCTGATCTTGAGAAGGAAAAAACAATAAAGGATAAGTAGCCAAATATAACTCTAGCTTTGGTGTAGTCAGACCTCTAGTCTTTGAAAACATTTATTCTTCTACTTGGCATTTGAATGAATTTCTCTGATACCCTTTTATATTCCAATGAAATTAAAGATTTTTTCCTCTCAAACTTTCTTTCTGTGTAGCCAACTGTAGCACACACACATTTCAGATGTCATTTCTTTTATTTTACCTCTTATTTATACTTGACCTGGTCTATTTTATTTCTCTGGGATCTAACTGAAGAGGCATCCCTGTGTACCACGGTCTGGTCTGTCCATAAAGAAAAGAAAGGAAAAAATTATTTTACTACATGTGGCAGCAAGTATAATGAACTAACGCTGAGAAGGGAATGATCGGGGCTCTACATTTTAAAGGGAATTCAAGGAGCGTAGATGCTGCTTTGAGAAACACTGGCCTTGTGGGAAAGGAACTGATACTGAATCACCATGAAAGGAATTGGAATTGCACCAGAGCTCTTCTGCAGACATGCTTTCTGAGACAGATCAAGAAGAAATGCTTATGAAAAAAAGGTTCCCTTACTTGCAAGTTCTGGGGTCTACAATCAAACCCCCTATGGGACTTTAGATGTGACATTTATTGATCAGCTTTCTTGAGTGAACTCTGAGGAGAAAAATGTTAAAAATAACAAACAAACCCCTTTGTGTTAGTAACCATACCCTTACCTACTTTGCCTTCCATTAAGCAAGTCTCTCAACAATGAAAGTTTCCTCTGGTTCTGTGTTCAACTTAGTTCAACCTATTTTCCCTGTCTTTTAGTCATCTCACTATATAAAATTCCTTTGAACACAGTTCAGTCTTGAACAGACCTAAGTGTCTTCAGTTAAATGCCAGATGGTAAGGCAGGATATCTGGCTTTATAAATAAATAATGTCCATTGGATCTCTGAGATTATGGCAAGTCCCTTTCTGCAATTACTGCCTTTGAAACTGAGATGAAGAATAGAAGTTAATAAGATCATATTAATCACATAATATTTAGCACAAAGCTATCTGACTACACAAAGTTGGACATGTTTCAACAGCTACTTAGGCCAAGACAAAAATTGTCAAACTAAAATGTTTTTAAACATTTTTCTCTGACATCAACCCTATTATCATCATTAAAATCTTCTGCGTAAAATAGGTCATGACAAATGTAAATCACCAAGAAGACAGACTTAACAAAAGACAGTAACAGATTTTTCATTAATACCATCAGTTCCTCTAAGTCTGTAAAATTTCGTTGGTTAATTTAACTGATAGTGGAAATAACTTGGCATGTCCCAGGGAATGAAAGGATTACTTTACAAAAATATTGCTCAACAGTGATCATTTCTACTTTGTTAATTACTGTTGAATTACTACATCATTAGCTGTTGAATGAAACAGCTTTCTCTTCAGAAGCGAGATAGACTTCAATGCCTATCACTACAATGCTGGGCAAAATCTATAAGTACTTCCCAAATATTTTCTATAAAATTTGATATTACAAATGTTGGAAGATTCATATATAACCCAGTTGTATTAATATTCAGTACCTGTAATAGATGGGACTGGCTAGTCGACTAATTAAGACTCTTTCTTGATAACACCATCTTAATTCACAGTATCTTTTTACATTAAAGATCTTCACCCTACATGCTCATGAAATGTAAGCTGGTACATGCCAGCTTCTGCAGCCATAGGCACACAATAGGGAGCAATTCAAGTTCAGCAGTTTTAAACAGAATTGTATACGCTGTTGAAGCTATAACTGTAAAAACACTTGTGCTAGAGGAAGGCACAGTTTTGGAGTGGGGAAACTGAACTTGAACATTTGAGTTTTAAGAGAAATATCTTACTGCTTTTTCTCTAAAATGCTGCCGTATATGACTAGCTGTTAATGAATGTATTAATAGAGTTTCTTCTGGGAGGTAGGTGTCTGTCCCCATAGCTTTGCTGCACAACCTTTACTATCCTTACATTCCTTTGGTAGTGGATCTTCAGAAAATGTGCAGTTCAGCCAAAGCTGAAGGCAGTTTATTAGTCACCAAGACTACACAGAAAACAGACTACCAACACTGTGGGTTCTGCCTTCCATTCTGGGGAAGGTTTCTATGAAGTCAGAGCTCTGCAGTTACAGAACAAGGGAAAAAGGAAAGTTACACCACACTGACTGCCCTGCATTCAAACAGCTCTAATACTGTGGAAGAAAGCATTCTGATCTTTAGCTGTAGAGTCCTTGCCATTTCCTAAGCTAAAATACTTTTCTATGGAGGTATTACATTTGAGGACTAGAACTTACCATTTTTTGTTGCAATGTGGTAAATAAAATCTGTAGAGGACTGCCATCTCCATTACAATGGATGACAGGTACCAAAAACCAGTGAGAGACTAGGAAGTATTACAAGATAAAACAGAAAAATAGTTACGCATCCCACGTACAGTGGCACATGACTGGGCAACTCGGGAACATAATTCAGGTCACCTGAATGACCGGTGCTGTGCCCAAAGAACTGGACAAAGCTTCCTGCCTTAAGCTTTTAATTGCCTTATTGAAGAAAAAACTTAGTGAGGATTTTTTGTTTCATCTCAGTTGATATAACAGCAACTACAAGAACTCAGCAGTAATTCCACAAAGTTCTTTATATTGTGTGTGTGCATTGTGCACGGATGTTTTTTTTTTACTTTATTTCATATTTAATTTATGACCTGCTGCAGAGACTCGACTGAGTTAATGCATATGTTTAACACAAATAAAAGAAGTAGCTTTAGTTAAAAGGAAAGCCATTTCCCCTTCAGTCGAAAAGATGATATCCAGTGGATGGCTGGTCACTTTTTCTAGGAAGTTAACATTTGCTTGCCTACTATAAATCTCATCCACAGTGAGGGGAAACCAAAGTGTACTATTTACATATATATATATGTATATATATTCCTTTTCTTTTCTTTTTTTTTCTCTTTGATTTTGTGATTCAAAACCTACGCTATCAGGACTCTGAAAATATATTAGAAGTAGATTTCATTTTGTTTCACTGTACTACTATTTATTTCATGTCTGGCAATAAATAAATACATTACCACAAACTGGAAAAAAAAAAACAAAACTAGAATTAAAGATTTATGCACAGGTCACCTTTTCCAATGTATGTTAGATTTGATTGCCATTATGGTTATTTCATAAAGCTACTCCTGCAGCTGGTGGCTGTTGCACTGATTTGCAGTTAATAAATGAATTTAGGGATGTACTATTTTAAGCTATTTATACTTCTACATAGAAGTACCACAGCACCTTTGAGTTACTAACAAATTTTATCCAACCTGTTGCGGGTTGCTGAGATCCTGCCACAGAGTGGTGACTGTCAATGTTTATATATCAGTAGACTGAATCTTGCTCATGGAGAAACTGAACCCAGGGAGCTGCAGGCTGGGCCTCAAGACACTGTCTTTTGTATACAAACTGGGAACTTTTTATGCTCCAGAATGTGAAACAACCAGACTGGTGCTTGCTGGCAACTTGACAGGTTGCAACACGTAGGTCCCATTAAGATTTGGTCTAGCTAGGGCATCTTTACAGACCCTAGAAGAGGGCAGTCAAAGAGTATGACAAAAACTTTGGGATTTGATTGAAAAATAGCATAGTCAGATGAATATGTGCTGCCAGGACACAGTATGTAGTTAGAAAATATATTTGTAAACCTATTTATTTCTGACCTTGGTTTCTCTCTTTGGAAAATTTGGCCTTTATAGACTTTTATTTTTTGTAATGTCTGGGTTTATGCTTATATATAGTTTGTGGGCACATCAAACCTTGTTCAGAATTGAAAAACCTTTATTTTTAAACTCTTGAATCCAATATTCCCACTTTCTTGCCCATCATTTACCCCTAGATGGATTTCTTTTGAATATATTTAATACAGAACAGGGCCTAGACTCAAGAGAATTTAAAAAGAGTTCTACTGGTACTTCACAATCAACTCAGTATTGAACTATTGGTAAGTGTTACTGGGTATTTTTAAACTTCAGAACAGATACCTGTCACAGTTCTGGCATCCCACTTTGTTTAGCCTAAGCAACATGCTGAAACACGACAAATTTTACCTACTCTTCACTGGAAACTTGTGCCTGGGGGAGGATCAGGATACATAGAACAAATCTAAGTGCACATAATCCTGGGAGTCTTGGTTTACCTCTATCTAATATTAATGCTGTTAAAGGCAACAATGATCATATCAAAGTGCAAAGATTATCCTGTCTGTGGAGAGGCAGTGTGTACAAAATGTTTTCCATTGGACACTCTTATCAAAGCACCCAATATGCAGACCTATTAAAACATAAAAAATTTCATACCACCTTGGTGCACACTTGTGTTTTCTTTAAGGAGACAAACCCAGTGCTCTTTAGTTCCTCAGGAATTTATCAGCATCCATTACTGTGTATCTCAAGTAGATAATCTGCATCCAATAAACTACATAATCATGAATTCAACAAAAAAACACCAAACTTAGAAAATCAAATCCTTTCCACATCTATATTTTTCATGTGTAAAATACAGGCATCTGAAAATATAATCAGCTGTACACACACACAAAAATGACCACAGAAAGAGCCAGCTGGATGCAGTTTCAGATACACACTACCCTTAATGAATAACACAGAGACTGGGTTCAGAAAAACAAGGGCATAAGAAATTGGTTATGATACTGTCCTGGGTTCAGCAGCAGCAGGCATTTTTCCCCTTCTTAGTAGCTGCTGCAGTGCTGTGGTTTTGACTTTCATCCTGGGAACAGCAATGATAACACCGATGTTTTTAGCTGTTGCGCAGTAATGTTTACTCTGACCAAGGACTTTCTGAGTCTCATGCTCTGTCAGGGAGGAGGGGAAGCCGGGAGGAAGCAGAGACAGGACACCTGACCCAAACTAGCCAAAGAGGTATTCCATACCACAGCACATCACGCCCAGTATATAAACTGGGAGCAGTTACCCGGAAGGGCTAGATCACTGCTCTGGTCGGGCTGGGTATTGGTCGGCGGGTGGTGAGTGGTTGTATTCTCTTCTCTTGTTATTTCTCTTATCATTATTATTATTGGTGGTAGCAGTAGTGGTTTGTGTTATACCTTAGTTACTGGACTGTTCTTATCTCAACCCCTGAGAATTACATTCATTTGATTCTCCTCCCCATCCCTCTGGGAGTGGGAGGAGGAAATGGGGGAGTGAGTGAGGCTGCATGGTTCTGATTTACCAGCTGAGCTTAAAACATGACAGATACTGATTCACTGGTACTTGGGTCTGTGGTAGACTTGCTGCAGTTGCGTTATAGAATCATAGAATCAGAATAACTAGGGTTGGAAAGGACCTTAGATCATCTAGTTCCAACCCCACTGCCATAGGCAGGGACACCTCACACTAAACCATCTCACCCAAGGCTCTGTCCAATCTGGACTTGGACAATGCCAGGAATGGAGCACTCACAACTTTCCTGGGCAGCCCATTCCAGTGCCTCACCATCCTCACAGTAAAGAACTTCTTCCTTATAGCTAATATCTAAACTTCCCCTGTTTAAGTTTTAATCCATTACCCCTTGTCTTGTAACTACAGTCCCTGATGAAGAGTATCTCTCCAGCATCCTTATAGGCCCCCTTCAGATACTGGAAGGCTGCTATGAGGTCTCCACGCAGCCTTCTCTTCTCCAGGCTAAGAGCCCCAACTTTCTCAGCCTGTCTTCATAGGGGAGGTGCTCTGGTCCCCTGATCATCCTCGGGGCCCACATCTGTTGTTTTTCATGTTCCTTAGCATGCCTTCCAGGAGAATCTGCTCCAAGATTTTGCCAGGCACAGCCACAGACGTGAGACTGACTGGTCTGTAGTTCTCTGGGTCATTTTTCCCTTCTTGAAAATGGGGGTTATATTTCCCTTTTATCAGTCATTGGGAACTTCACCTGACTGCCATAATTTTTCAAATATGATGGCCAGTGGCTTAGCAACTTCATTCTCCAGATCCTTCAGGACCCGCAGATGGATTTCATCAGGTCCCATGGACTTGTGCACGTTCAGATTCTTAAGATGGTCTCGAACCAGATCCTCTCCTACTGTGGGCCCAAGGTCTTCCTTCTCACAGTCCCTGTGTCTGCCTTCCAAGACTTGGGTGGTGGGGTCAGAGCCTTTGCCAGTGAAGACTGAGGCAAAGAAGTCATTGAGAACCTCAGCCTTCTCCAAATCCTGTGTAGCCAGTTCTCCTGATAGCATCTGGAGAGGGCCCACGTTGTCCCTGGTCTGTCTTTTCTTTGCAATGTACCTGTAGAATCCCTTCCTGTTATCTTTCACATCCCTTGCCAAATTTAATTCTAACTGGGCCTTAGCTTTCCTAACCTGGTCCCTAGCTTCCTGGGCAGCATGCCTGTATTCTTCCCAGCCTTCCTGTCCTTGCTTCCACTTTTTGTAAGCCTCTTTTTTCCTTTGAATTTTCCTCAGCTGCTCCTTATCCATCCAAAGAGGTCTCCTGGCCCTCCTGCTACACTCCCTTCTAGTTAGGACACAACACTCCTGAAACTGTAGCAGGTGATCCCTGAATACCAACCAACAGTCTTGGGCCCCCCTGGCCTCTAGGGCTATATCCCTTAGAACCTTACTAAGCAGGTTCCTGAAGAGGCCAAAGTCTGCTCTCTTGAAGTCCAGGGCAGTGAGCTTGCTGCACACTCTTCTCACTGTCCTCAGGATCTCAAACTTGAACATCTCCTATAACTTATTTTTTATTCCCCATCAATAGAGTACCTACATAGAGATTTTGTTTATGAAAACTTATTTTCCTTATGAAAGCTTTGTCATACCGTGAAATTCTCAAGTATCTCCACACGGAAAATTTAAAATGTTGGAGTCTAAGCAATATTTTGGTTGAAGCATTCTGATTTTTCTTCTTTTTACTATGAGTCTTTAAAATGTTCATAATGAGTACAAAATTTGGCTTTTGCAAGGAAGAAACACAATGACATGAAAATTAAAATTTTTATTAATAAAATATTAAAACAGGCAAATTAATTGAAAATAACTAATTTTCAGTCCCAGTGTTTAATAATAACTGACATTCATTGAAACAATTTTCCAAACCTTTCATCTTCTACAGAAGGATTGAGTGTGCCTTGTGGGATTGAGTGTGCCCTCAGCAAGTTTGCCGATGACACCAAGCTGTGTGGTTCGGTTGATACGCTGGAGGGAAGGAATGCCATCCAGAGGGACCTTGACATGCTTGTGAGGTGGCCTGATGCCAACCTCATGAAGTTTAACCATGACAAGTGCAAGGTCCTACACCTGGGTCGGAGCAATCCCAGGCACAGCTACAGGTTGGGCAGAGAAGAGATTCAGAGCAGCCCTGGGGAGAAGGACTTGGGGGTGTTGGTCGATGAGAAAATGAACATGAGCCGGCTTCAGTGTGCGCTTGCAGCCCAGAAAGCCAACCGTATCCTGGGCTGCATCAAAAGGAGTGTGACCAGCAGATCAAAGGAGATGATCCTGCCCCTCTACTCTGCTCTTGTGAGACCTCACTTGGAGTATTGTGTGCAGTTCTGGTGTCCTCAGCATAAAAAGGACATGGAACTGTTGGAACAAGTCCAGAGAAGGGCCAGAAGGATGATCAGGGGACCAGAGCACCTCCCGTATGAAGACAGGCTGAGGAAGTTGGGGCTGTTCAGCCTGGAGAAGAGAAGGCTGCGTGGAGACCTCATAGCAGCCTTCCAGTATCTGAA